TGATAGTGGTAGCACTTAGACTCATAGGCCCCCTTCACAGAGAAGCGGTTTACAGAGTCAGCCTCTTGCCCCCAACCATCTGGGTCCTCGTTTTACCCACCTCGGAAGGACGGAAGGCTGAGTCAACCTTGAGCCTGGTGAGATTCGAACTGCCAAATTGCAGGCAGCCGGCAGTCAGCAGAAGGAGCCTGCGGTACTGCCCTCTAACCACTGCACCACCGCAGCTCTGAGGTTCTATAGAACAGCGTTTCTCAACCTTGGCGACTTTAAGTCCCGTGGACTTCAACTCCCAGAATCCCCCAGCCAGCTGTGCTGGCTGGGGGATTCTGGGAGTTGAAGTCCATGGGACTTAAAGTCGCCAAGGTTGAGAAACACTGTTCTATAGGGTGGGAGCCACCACAGAGAGGGCCCTTCTCTTTTGTCCCTCTGTTAGGAGAGGGGACCCACACCCATTCCCTGCCTCCCTGCTCTGCTGGGTGAGGGGGATGTAACCAAGAAGAGATGGTCCTAAGCCATGCAGGGTTTTAAACGTGACCACAGCACCTTGAATTGGGTTGACCTGGAAGCGAATCGGCCTCCAACGTAGCTCCCACAGATGACCCCTGTGCACATGTTTCTCTCCCCTTGCTGACCTCTGTCCCTCTTCTGATTTCAGACAGCACTTTGTTTGAGAGCTACACGGAGGGGGAAATCCACCAGCTGATCTCCACCCTGATCGAGCGCTACAGCCAATCCATGAACTCGGGAGGACACGAGCTGCCTCTCTTTGCCAAAGCCGGCAACCGGATGAAGCGCGCCAAGGCCCGCCACAAACCCTGCTCCCTCAAGGAGCTGGAGGTGACCATCAGCGAGCTAGGCCTGGGCTACAACTCGGACGAGACGGTCCTCTTCCGCTACTGCAGCGGGACCTGCGACTCGGCCGTGCGGAACTACGACGTCTCCCTGAAACATGTGCGGAGCATGAGGAAGATCCGGAAGGAGAAGGTGCGGGCTCGTCCGTGCTGCCGACCGTTGTCGTACGACGACGACGTCTCGTTCTTGGACACGGGGAACCGATACTACACCGTAAACGAGGTGTCGGCCAAGGAATGCGGCTGCGTGTGACCGGGAGGAGGAAACGCCAACGAGAAGGAAGAGAGTCTCCATTCTCCCTAGGCTTCACCCATGGGGTACCAGCCAGGATGCACCTCCAAGTAGGAAAGCGGAAGGAGAGCAGATGAGAGAGGACCAGATGTGGACAACTGCATCAAGGATGGTGATGGAGGCCCAGGGCCAAAGGACTCACGGCTGAGGAAACAGCATCTTTGGCAGGATACGCCGAGCAGCTGGGGAGCAGAGATAGCTATACTTTGGGACCTCACTTAATAACTTCCACCTTCTGACCAGAGGGGTGATGAGGCACGGGGCAGAAGGCCGTTCTTTTGAGTCTTGACCAACATGTATTCTCGGCTTCTCCGGACTGACATTGTGTGGTTGGGGAGAAAAAAACGAGGGCGCTTAACTCATTCCCAGATTTCCGTGCAGGAGGAAGGGGTCCCGGCTGTGATTTTCGACAGATTGCATCTGCTGACATCTTGGATCAACCGCTGAGAGTCTGCACGGGGAGAAGCCTGGGAGGTCCTCCGTTAAGTGATTCCATTTGGGAACCAAAGAGGGGCCTCAATTCCTGTCTGACAGGCCAAGAGTTCGTTTCTTTAAAGAAAGACGGGCAGGAGAAGAGGCTGACAGGTTGTGGAATTCTTCCCTTCTCTCGTCAGTCGAGGATCGTAATTGTTACGTTAATGCACAAGCTCCGTGATCAACAGGACTGTGTAAAAATTATATATATATGGACCTAAGTCTAAAATATTGATGGGTATGTACAAAAAGCTCATTCTTTTGTTGGCATTTCATCAACTTCTTAATGGAGTCCGTTTCAACGTTGCAGAGCTGAATTCAAGAGGGGAAGATCGGTTGTGCCGTTCAGACACAAGACACCTGTTGGGGTGTCAGAAGGCCCCGGGTTCAAACTCTGAGGCCTGCTGGGAGGGAGGTACTCCTGCCAAACATCCTGCGTTAAGACGAGGCCAATAAAGTGGGCTTAATACAAGGCAGATGTTCCCGAAATCCTTACGGCACAAAGAGATCCTGAGGACCAGTAACTTAGTTTGCTTTTAGGGGACAGGTTGTAGACTAAGAAGGGCTGGCCTTTCAGCATCCCGGAGGGTATCCCTGACCTCAGAGGTCATCAGGTCCACTCCCCCGAGACTATCCAGTCTCTGAAAAGCTCCAGGAAAGGGGAAGGAACTGTGTGCTAAAGCTAACCCAACAAATTCCTAATATCTAATCCAGTGTTGCTCAACCTTGGGCCCTGGAAGACGAGTGGACATCTTGGCTGGCTGGGGAATTCTGGGAGTTGAAGTCCACCCACCTTCAAGGGGCCCAAGGTGGAGAAACACTGGTTTAATCCATATTTACATCCTTGAAATTTAATCCCATTCGTTCTACTCTCACCTTTGAGAGCCTCTGAGAAGTCTGAACTCTTTGCAAGCTGGCAGCCCTTCAGAGTTTTGAGGACCCTCTTGTGCCCCCCTCAACCTTCTTCCCTGCAAGCTCAACCCACCCTCATCTTTCCCCAGTCCTCACAAGACATGGATTCACGACAAGTCTTCCCAACATTTTAATAGCCCTTCTCTTCCTTTCCCGTTCACAAACATAATGAGATTCAGCATCCTCATTGCCATCCCCCTCCCACTTCTGTCCCCATCTCCAGACCCCAAAATTCTCTTTGAGGAAGCAGCAGTTGAGGAAGTCACGCTAATATTTCACACCTTGGACACCGTCAAGAGTGACCAAAGAAATTACAGACAGGATGGAGGAGAGGAAGGAAAGGAATGTAGAGAAGTCTTATTTAACCCAATCCTACTCCCCATCCATAATGTCCTCTCCTTGCTTCCCCTGTCTCCATAGGGCGGGAATGGCAGCCATCTTGACTTTTTTGACTGCCCCCTTTCACAAATAAGTATGAATGAAGCCTCTTCCATTGGGGGGGGGAGACGGTGGGGGCACAAAAGAGGGTCTCTCAGATTTAGGTCCTGCTAGGTGCAAGGAAGGAAGGGTCCCCGGGTGCTCCAGCTATGTTTGTGACTTTCCACCACAGAGGTGGGAATGTCCCTCTGGACATTTTGAGGAACCCAGAACCCATGTTGCCAAGACCCACCTCCCTTCCCCTTCCTGGGGTTCTGATCTGTTTCTTGGGCAATCAGGGATGGCAATGCCAGTCACCTTCGCCTCTCTGGCAGTTTGTGAGCTGGTTCTACCACTCTTTGACCTCAGAGCATTTGTGTCCAGAAGTCCATAAGGACTAGCCACTTGGAATAGAGCACGCCCAATTTGCCCCAAGGTCCCTATTGAGGCCAGGGTTTTGCACTCTGTCCTTCTGTGGAGCACCTTCTTAGCCAAGGAAGGAGATGCGGGGGATATGGGGGTCTCTTCAGGAATCCCCAGGCCTGTTTCTTCTCTCTGGGTTAATGGGCTGAGAAATGCTTCCCCCGTGACATTTGGTGCTACCTAGGTGTGCGGAGCAGTGGACACCCCTGATGGAGTCGCCATGGGTGTGTTGGCACCCCAGGACTGGGTCCACGGCTCTGACCCTTCCTGACTGCATTGGTGGTGGGGAGACCCACAGGCCTTGGAGGGTTCTGCAAAGGCTTTCCTTCCTGCGGGGCAGGATTGCGGTGCTGCCCACCTGGATCCCTCACCTGGATTCCCCAGGCAGAAGGGATCAACCCATCCAGCTCTGGGGCTTCCCTTTTGAAACTGTGCCAGTCGTCTCTCTCTCTCTCCCTCCCTCTCTCTCCCTCCCTCCCTCTCTCTCTTGGCTTCCTTACTTTTGGTACGTTAGACTGCCGAACCCATCCTCCTCAGCAAGGGGAGTGTAGTCCATGCACCCCTGGGATGTGCCACCAGGATTGATGGGCAGCCGCTGGCGCAAACTGGTTTCTCTTTCCTCCAAAAATGGGAATCCTTTTAACCCCTCAGGAACTCCCAGGCTGCTGTGCCCCACACTTTCTGTGCCCATCTGTGCCAGTCCAGCTGACCTCCCTCCACCCTTCCTCCCTTCCTTCGGCAGGGCCCCATTCCTAACGCTCCTCCTTGTCAGCCCCACCCCAGAGCCCCTCTCCCCTTCTCAGGCTCAAACTCTTCTTTCAAACCTGCCCCCACCCCGCTCACTGCCCATCCTCCCCGGAGAGAGGAGAGGAGTAAAAAATCCCCACCCCCAATTCCATCTTGATCACCTTGGGGCAGACCAGAGTTCTCCCACCCCCTATCGCCGCCCCCCCCGCCTCCCACTAGGCGTGGCTCAGTGGTCATGTGACTGGGTGGGCATGGCCAACTCAACATCACTCAGGTCGATGTGCATTTTGCCTTAGTGTTACAATGTAATAAAGCTTAACTATAGAGGCAGTTTCTGGAAGCAGGGCAATAAAGATTAGGCTAGAAGCAACACCAGAATGTTTCCTTCCTGCCTTCCTTACAGGATTAGCCCTGTAAAGTGGGAAAAAACGAAATATTTCTTCCAACAACCGATTCTCCGAACTGCTTAAGAAAGTTACCAACCGGTTCTCCCAAGTAGGTGCGAACTGGCTGAATCCCACCACTGCTTCAACCCCAGACTTTTAGGATAGGAATTAACGGAAGGGGCTTCACCCTAGCAAATTCTCCTTTCCCGTCCCAGCTCTCCTACGGGTAGTCCTCGACTTACGACCAAAAAGGGACCAGGATTTCTGTTACTAAGCAAGGCACTTCACTAAATTGCACCTCGTTTTACGACTGCTTTTGCCACAGCCACTAAGCACATCACAGCAGCTATTAAACATTCTATTAAAGTAACCAAAATATCTTTGCGATTCCCAAGGAACGCCGTAAGTTTTGAGACGCTGAGCTTGTCGATCAGAAAGTCGGTAGTTCGGCGGCGGTTTGAATCCCTAGCGCCGCGTAACGGAGGGAGCTCCCTGTTCCTTGTCCCAGCTTCTGCCAACCTAGCAGTTCGAAAGCATGTAAAATGCAAGTAGAAAAACAGGGACCATCTTTGGTGGGAAGGGAACAGCGTTCCGTGCGCCTTTGGGAGTTGAGTCATGCCGGCCACATGACCACGGAGACGTCTTCGGACAGCGCTGGCTCTCCGGCTTTGAAACGGAGATGAGCACCGCCCCCTAGAGTCAGGAACGACTGGCACATGTGCGCGAGGGGAACCTTTACTTTTACCTTTTAATGCTTGGAAATTGATCATTGAAAAATGTGACGTGCCCCAAAACAAGTCAGAAGCCTGATGGGAATGTCACTTGGGAG